AAAAAATTCTTTCATCTCCTATTGAAAACACAATCCACGTAAACCTCATAGCCTACCGTAAGAGCTACATCATCCAAGTGTGCTCTGTCACAAACAGAAGGGGATTAAATCAAATCAAACCTTTATTAGGGTTAAAGAGCAGCAGAAAGGGAGATAATTTATCCATGCAAAAAATCTAATTTCAAGACTGAGCTGGATAATTTAAAGCAGTTGACACACAGCAGCAGTGGCCTCATCCATAACACTAAGCCATATGTGAAGTTACCATTGTCACTTAGTGTTAGTTACAAACCAGTCCTCTTTAAAAAAAAACACACATCCTAGTACTGCGTTTTATGCTGTTGATTCAAACTATTACCACCAATTATTGTTATGATTAACCACAATTCCACACAACCCAACAAGCCATGGATTATCAAGTACAGGAACAAGGCTCCTGAGGCCAGGCTCTTCTTGAAATATGCGAGTTTGGTTTGGCACTGCAGGAGGACATCTGTGACTCACAAAACTTTGCTGAGGACATAACTTCCTTAATTCCCAGCCATTAGCAACACTGCCTGTGTCAGTGGGAGTTGAAATTTAACAAACCAACTCCCTAACTTAAAGTTACTAGTCCATCACATCCGAAGTTAGCTGCCTACAATGCTTAAGCAGAGAGCCAAAATTCTATCAAGTGATGGCTCATTCAATCAAATTTAAAAGGATGTACAAAAACTGATCCATCTCAACAAATAAACAGACTTGTTTGCCACCCATCTCACCTAGGGCCAACTCTGGGTGGCTTACAAACATTAAAAGCCAATAAAACACTGCAGCAAGAAACAGTACAGTAATAATTTACAATTAAAAGGTGGGGAGGAAGGGAATAGGATGCACACAAGAGTGAGGTGGGATTTTGTCTTAACCCATTAGCCACTTCCAGTGTGATGTGCTCCCATTGGGGCTTAGGCCAACTGGCAGAGCCAGGCCTTCAGCACAGTTCCCTCTAAGGTGCGCGCCTGCGCGGCCGCGCACNGGGGGGGAATTTGCCTGAGAACATATCTCTTTAATTTCCTGTGTGTGTGCTTACTCACTAAACTGCCTGGAGGATTTGGGGAGATATTGCTATAACAAGTAGAGTTGTGCAATAGAGATACTTTACTCGCACCAATTGCTCTGTGTGTGAGTTGAATCAGCATTTTCTTTCAAATGCACCTTATTATAATAGAGAATAAAACCAGGGCTTCTAAAGTTATAATCGGAGAGCCAAATCATACTAATGATCACTTTTCACTAGGTTTTGGCTGCTTATGAAATATGCTTTAAGAGTTTTTGCCAAGCAAAATGAACAATGACCTATAATCCAGCAGCTGCTGGACCATTGAGCCCAACTCTTGCTTCATGCAAAACTATTTAAAAGTCCTTTTTTTTTCTCCAGGTAGGCTTCAATCTCTCTGCAGACATTGAATCAGATGCACGTTGACCTTTTTTTCAAGTTGCTTATTAGACGAGGATGAAATTCTGGTATCTTATCTAAAGCATAGCATAAAGCCAAAGCTTTTATACCTTCTCTGTTTTTGCATAATTTATGTGTTTGATTTTTAACTGTTTATGTGTTTGATTTTTAACACTTTTGATGCTTTTGGAGCTTTATAAGCTGCACTCAACTTTTGCTAAGTCAGTGTTTCCAGAAAGTAGTTTAGCTAGTATTTAATCATGGAATTAAGCCAACTTATTGAATTGGCTGCTTTGGGGCCATATGTGCTGCTCAAAGTATTTTCTGTCCAGCTATTTGAACTACTGAACTGAAAGAGACAGTTCATCAGTATTATGTCAAGCCATGGTTTTTTTAATTATGGTTTATTAGCTAAAATTCAGTTGGTTGGGTTCACATGTACAACCATTAGAAGCTAGGGCTTAGTGCAACGCATGAATCAGGTCACAGAAAAGTGTTTAAATGGTAGAGAAAATTAATGTTCTTTTTGTGTTGCTTGACAAATCCAAGTGAAGTTAATAGAGATTTTCAGCAGCCTCCAAGCTTTAACAAAAATTAAACAATACCAGAGCTTGGAGTTCTGCAGGGAAGATTCTGTTGATAGTCAACACACACACACTAAAAATAGGCAGCAAGACACTCTTCACATTAAATTTATTGGCTGGTTCAAAGCATACGTGGCCTATTCCACACACTGACCATGGGCATCACAAAACCAACATTATTCAGGAGAGATCAGGAAGCACCAGGATCAGAATGACTGCCGCCCTCCCAGTCTCCACGTATCCTTCTTCTTCACCAGAATATGTACTGTGATGGGTTGAGTTGTTACCTGGGCAAACTACATCATCTTTCCCCAAGCTAGATATATTTAATAAAGCAAGCCTAATTGCAAGGAAAGGTGTTCTGGAGAGCCAGTTGATGTGGATATCCAAGGACAGGAAGTGGGATCAACAGGATTAGCATAGCAGGAGCGGTGCAGAGATCCATTGGCATGGGAAGAGTTAGCACCAGGAATCTCTACTAGCTCTGCAAGGAACACGGAAATTGACAGCTATCGAAAGCAGGAAATTGGTACCAAAGCCCATAAAGGATAAGCCCAGAGTTTTTCAAAAACCCTATCATTTATTTTTGGGGATAAAGGGGAGAAAGTGCAACATACCAGAATCCAAACTGGAGTTCTGTAATGTGCCAGAGACATTTCTAAGGAATCGACCACAGGAAATATTATTTAGGCCCCTCCACCCTGTATAGAAATGAGTATTGTATGCGGCTGTCTACAAGCAAATGCACACTGGGAGGCCAAGAAGTAAAGCTGAGTAAAACATGGCAACCTCAAAGTCTGTTGAGCTGTTTCAATGCCATTCCTACCTTGCCAGATATCTCAAGCTCGGAACCCATTCTGAGTCATGGAATAGCCACTTTGAAGCTTAAGTGTGTTAAAGCTGGCAAGATTTACGCATCCTTGCAAGGGAACAATGCTGCTGTTTTCTCAACGTTTTAAGCCACCATGCTTACTATCAAATGATGCTTTATTTTCCTAGTTAATTTGTAGGATTGGTTTGGCTAGGAAAAGGGGGAAATGCTGTGGTCCGCATGGGGAAAAATTCTTGCATTTTATAATGAAAGCCAACTTCAATAATGGTCTAAAATTTAATTTTGTGTAGATTATATATAATAAAGTTGTTTCAATTACACACAAAATGCTAAGCTATCTGCTATAAAAAGCAAAAATTGGAAGGACGAAATAAAAACCAGCTTCTGCCGGGACATAGGGAGATGATCCAGACTTGTGGTAGGAAGGTCCATTAGATAGCATGACATTGTGTACTTCCTTGCATCATCAACTTGTTCTTTTCCTGCTTTGGAGTACTTGTAGCTACTGGGACTTTAAAACTGATCCTCCACAGGGAAGGGGAAATATAGGTAAAAAGATAAAATAGCCAGAAAGGCAGTCCTAGTTTCCTGCAAAAATTTTAAATTGGATTTGGCAATTGGCAAGTCTATGACCAGAGACGTCTATGCCTTAAGTCAGCTAGAAATTACTGACCCTGAAGGTGCGCAGCAGGTAGCATATTTGAAGCAAAATGTTACTGAATTTGTTCCCAAATGGGATTCAGGGAAACACAATCTTGAAAGTTTCCTCCAATTCTTACAAGTAAAGTTGAATAATACTGTGATAGGGTGTCTGTTCAATTTCTGATTTTAACAGAAGGACAGAAAAATTACAAAGTTGGCAGAGAGAAAAAAGTTACAAAAGATCTTAAATACTGGAAATAAAAGCCTCTGGGGTAATACAGAAGAAGACAGGAAAAGCTATCTCAATAATAGCACCAAGGTTCTCAACTATTATTGGGCAAATATTTTGAAGACTTGTGAGCTTCTGTTAAGTTTTTTACAAAGCTACATACTTCATTGCCTGTAGCTCAAAAATGAGCAAGATGTATGAGAATATATATAATTACCAACAATAATATATATATTTATAAGAGGATTAGCCATGATTTTGGAGGATAGAAAGGAGAGAATAGGACAGCCATGAAGTAAAATGGTTTAAAGCACTATCACAATATTTTAATCTTTCAAGTTATAAATGATGAGGTTATTGTGCCAGAAAAAGTTCCCAAAGCAATGTAAACAAAATGAGACAATAATGGAGATATTAAAATTGGTATTACTGGACTGAAGATAAAAGCTATGAGCTTATTTCCATATGTACAATTTTGGTGCTCAATTGGACATTATTTTCAGGAATAGAAATGCTTAATTCCCAGCTGCTTGTTTCCCCTTTCAATTGTGAATAATCTACTTCATTCAATATTTTTTGCGATTAAATTAAGGTGATTCAATATGATTGGCTGATTCTAAGACATAGTTGCTGCCAGTTAAGCTTCCTGCAACTTAATATTTGCATATTAAGCAATAGTAAGAAGCGCAAACTGAAGATCAATAGAAGTTAGCAACCCTAAGTGGTATTGATTAGCTATATCCCAAATAGAAATTGATTCTGTAAATTCATTCTAAGTCAACAGCAGATGCTTCCTGAAAATCAAGGTATCAGTCTTCCAAATAGCTGTCCTACATTCTTTAGCTCCTGCATAGACTATCATGGGAATAATGCAAATAAAAGCTGAGAGAATCATCCTACTTAAGAATTAGGTGAAGATGGAGCTATTGCCATCCATTTGATGCCTCAGTCATGGAGAAATTAATAGGAAACCTGTAACCTTAAATGCATTAACAAACATCCTTTGGGCTGTCGTCACTCATAGTATGTATGACCCACAGGTTAAGGAATCTCAACTGAAAGCTACAAGCATCTCGTTCTTCAGATGAACTTCTATGTTCAAGCTTTGGTCTTTGATACTTGGTCTGCTATACAGCACTTTCTCTAACAAGCTCCAAGTCCTTTTGCAAATCCTCTTTCATATGAATTATTGTAAGAATTACTGTGTGGATTTGGAAGTCTGATTTATGAGGTGAGAAAGCATTCTGGGTGTTCCTATATTATATTTGAAAACCTTATTCATACCATGTTGACTTCCATTTAAGGATAATGTACATAAATACTGAGAACTCCCTCAAGAGTTCAAAAAGTTAGTAGAGAAGAGATTCCAGGCAAATGTTCCCCTGCTTTCTGACCTGCTTTTTTCCCTCCTTAAGAGGGCCAGGTCCCAGCCTTCATGGCAATATTTTAAGAAACTGGCATATTCATGAGAAGTAATGTGTAAGAAAATCTGGCAACTCCAAAGATATCACGACACCAAAGAAAGCATCAAAACAAAAGAATCCGACAAGCGACAGGAAAAGGATGTGAAGGGAAAGTTCTAGTATTCTCAGTAACTTTTTGGCTCTGGTTGAAAGGGAAAATAGAGAAGGAGGTGTGGATTGGGATCTGGTCTGAAGTAATCTGGAATAACCAGTCAAGATATTGACAGGCAAACTGGCACCTGCAACCAGGTATAAAGAGTTCTTTACTCAGATTATAGAGCTATACATAGACCAAGGCACATGGACCACAAGCAAACAGATAGAAGTGGAAAGTAGCTTAAAAACTGACAGTGTAACTCCTCTGCGTTTCAAATCTGATAATGTAAAACTATTCAACACCACCCAATGCTGCTGCCCTACAAAGAGACCTTGACAACTGGCAACTCCAAATCTCAATGAACAAATCCCCTGTCTTATACATTGGCAAAAAAAAAAATCAGAATACCAAGTACAAGCTGGGCGGACACAACCTCATGGATGACTCTCACTCTGTCAAGGACCTGCAAGTACTCATTTCTAATGATTTAAGTGCCAGAGCTCACTGTAACAGCATTGCCAAAAAGGCATTAAGAGTTGTTAACCTAATCTTGCCAAACTTCTTCTCCGGTAATATTGTATTGCAAACTAGGGCATATAAAAACCTTTGCTAGACCTATTCTCGAATAAAGATCATCCGTCTGTAACCCGCACTGCCTATCAGACATTAATACNGAACTTGCACAATTGGTGGCTGACTAAATACTTTTTTGCCCCACTGTATCTGTACACACACAAATGAAGTTATTATTTTGTGTTATCATATATGCCAAACCATTAGCAATGTACAAGTAACACTGTTACTAATAATGACTAAAGATGTACAAAGCAGCATTATTTTGCTCAATACAATCACCCCACTCCAGTGGACAGAAACAGCACTGTGACATTGAAAGAAAAGCACTCTGCATGGAGGACTCTGAGCAAACCATTAACTTCATAGAAATGTCACTGGGACATGCTTCCTTTGGGGAGCCCCATGGAAAGCTCATTTGAAGCAAGGCGCCCCTTCCTAGCTTCACATCAATTCTGACAATCAGGAGGAGATATGGTGAGAATCTGGGTCGGGCTATTCATAGGGAAGGTTGAGCCGTTGTTTGATACCAATCCTGCCTGGACCCTGAATTCAAATTAGTACATAATGAAGGGATTGGATTTCTTCTATGTGATCTCTCATGGGGCCCCCTGGACTTCTAAGAAGCTCCAAGGAATAAAATGGCAAGACACACTTAGAGAACGACTGAAGAAAGATGAAGTAAAAATATGGGTAAGAGCCCATATTAGGACTCCATGCAAACTGATTAAGGGACTATTATGTCCTGTTACCTGGGATGTTTCACCCAGAAATTAACAGGATTCTGAAGACTGTTAACTCATCTACCTGGCATTTAGGGGAATGCCTCTCCTGGTAGTTAAGGATGTCCAGAAGGTGTTGTGCAATCAGGTCTATGATATAGTCAATGAACCTTTGAGTGAGATGGTAAATACACTGCTACCTCCTCAGGAGGCCATCGCTAACCCAATGGTGATAAGACGTGGGTCCAAACCAGGGGTGGGTTTCACATAAGTTTACCACTGGTTTGCCCGTACACCAAAAATGTGAGTGCTCACATGCGCTCGCTTTGTGAGCGTGCATGCCTTCTGCACATGTGTGCAGCCTACCACATGTGCGCTTTGCTCTCATGTGCAACTTGCACACATGTGCGCAGCTTAGAAAACATGAGTAAATAGGACAGCATAAAGCCAGGGCAGGTGGGCAGCTCACCTGCAGGTCGCCACTACCGATTCTCCTGAACCAGTCCAAACCAGCTGAATATCACCACTGGTCCAAACCTGTTTCTAGAGAAGCCTGTTGAGAAGGCAAATTGCAATTTCCAGGTGCAATTTGAGGTATTCATTTTGTTCTATAAAAGACTTTCAAGGCATAGACCCTAGCTGAGCAATTGCCTTTCTCCCCACTCTTTCTGCCTAAATAAAGTCAGGTCCCATTTTTAAATCAGTTTCGTCCGATAGGACTCAGATGATATGCCCTCTATGTTATTGAATCTGCTCATTAGAATAGGATCTCCCTGAAAATGTGATCCCCAACCCTGCTGTCTTGAAGACCTGGCTTTTTATCCAGACCCTGGGTTTGAACAATAGGTGCTTTCTGGAAGAACTGTGCATAAGTTGAGTGGTACTTAGTGCTCTCTGGGTTTGCTAATTTTCTTGCAGACATTTGTAGATAAACAATATCTTCACAATATGCAAAACAGACAAAACACCTCCCCATCAACAATCAGTACCCAGATAAGCATAGATTTCCAAGATTAACATCAGATCAACAATCAAGTAAACAAAACTCCAATCATGAAACTGCCAATCAAGATGACAACTCAATCAAAGAACCTCTAAGACCATCCCAACTAACTAGAAAACAAACCCCACTCCATACCAGCACTGATGATATATTACCTAATTTGGGTAATGAAATGTCTGCAAGAAAACTACCAAGCTCAAGGAGCAACAAGGATCCTTCATTTCAACCCTGAATTACAAATATTTTCCTTTATTTTATATTGGTTTTTGGGTAATCATTTTTTGGTGTGTTTTTTTACTGGGCAGTTTATAAAACGTACACTTCCCAGAACTGTTTTGAATAGGGCAGCCTTGTAGAATTGATTCATAATGAAACATACAGCCAAGTACCAAAACGAACAGAAACTTAAAACCACACAAGCCTAAGTCAAAAGCGAATCCATCAAATTCTCACCTGTGGCTGGGATTGTCTCCACTCTGGAGCGTGTCTGATTTTGGAAAGCACCGGGATCTTACTGCTGCTCAAAGAGCCTGCAGCTAGCAAAGTGTTTTCCTTCCAATCTGGCTTGTCTCGGGTCTTCGGAAAGGGCAACGATACTTGTTGGTTTTCCTTTCCTACTGGAGCCATTTAGGATCCTGTCTGCCTGGGTTTGCACCTACATCAAAAGCAAGCAAGCAGTGTAGCAGTTACCAGGGTGGAATACAATGTGAATAGTCCCGTATGCCTTCTCCCACCACCCCTAGTCGTAGTTTCTCATTTATTCGCTGTGCATTTTTGTTTACATCCACTGTCATCAGCACTACTTGATAGTCAATTACATCTCTCCTAACCCCAGCACTTTTACAACGATACAATTGAGCGAGTCTGAGATATTTCATGAGAAGAGTCCTCCACACCTCTGCTCGCAACAGAATATCTTATACCACCAGGCTTAAAATTTTGGGCTTAGACAATTTAGAACTATGCTGCCTTTGGTCTGACCTAAGTATAGTACATAACATTAATTGCTACAATGTCCTACCCGTTAATGGCTACTTCAGCTTCAACCACAATAACACCGGAGCACACAATATATACAAACTTAAGGTAAACCATACCAAACTCCAAAATATGACTTCAGCAACAGCACTACCTGACTCTGTGGTTTCTTCCTCAAACCCCCAAAACTTTAATCTTAGACTGTCTACTGTTGACCTCACCCCATTCCTAAGAGGTTTGTAGGGAGAGTGCATAAGTGCACCAATGGGTCTACTGTCCCTGTCCTAATGTTCACTTTTATTCATATTCATTTCACGTATCCATAATCTTGTATATACTTCTATTATCCTATACACGTTTGACAAAACAAATAAAAATAAAATAAATGTTACAGTAACATTCTCGATACTTCGAGAATAAGGAGGAACTGGGTTAATTCAGTTAATGCTTTGTGGAATAACCCACGAAACTCTCTGTGGTGTTTCTATGACAAGACATCATCCTAGTTACCACAACAAATAAGTTACCTCCTCGCCCCATTTCCCCCCCCCGCAACTCCCATTCCCCTCAACACCCATTCTCCCCATTCTCCCAACACCCATTCCCCCCAACACACATTCCCTCCATTCTCCCAACACCCATTCCCTCCAACACCCATTCCCTCCCATTTTCCCAACACCCATTCCCCCATATCCATTCCCCCAACACCCATTCCCCCATACCCATTCCCCCCATTCTCCCAACACCCATTCCCCCCCAACACCCATTCCCTCCAACACCCATTCCCCCCTCAACACCGAGAGGGACCGAAGTTTGTAGCTAAAAGTGTCAGCGGACGGTTTGACCACGGCGTAACGGTCTGGCTACAGCTCCGCCTTCTGCTCTACACCGTTTCCCGAGAGGGGAGGGGAAAGGGGGCTTCTCAGGTAAACTCTGCTTATGCATTGCCATCACCCCGGCCAGTTTCAGTCGGAGGGGGACGGGGACGGGGTCACCCTTCCTCCCCGTGCTCACCTGCTCCGGATCATCCCCTCCGCTAGCAAAGCGAAAGAGGCGTAGCCGCCGGCTCAGTTCATAAAGCAGCAGCAGGCGCCGATTGGTCCTTCCGAGAGATCACGTGGTCTGCCATAGGAGGCGAGGCTAGAACGCTGAGGGGAGTTCTGGAGCGGCCAAAGACCGGAAGAGGACAAAGGGAGGCGTTGAATGGCTAGAATTAAGCCACGAGGGAAAAGGGGGTGGGGCGAGGCTCTCGGGGACTGGAGTTGAGCCCAAAGTTGCAACTTAGAAGAGGGGTCTTCAAATGGTGGTGCGTGAGAAAACTTTGGTGGCCCGCAGAAAAATTATTTGCGTTTTTATATTGCACTAAATATTATTTATCTTTTTTAAAAAGTTATATTGGGGGGGATTTAAAATTATGACTTTAGTGGTCTCTGAGATCCGAAAGGTTGATGACCCCTGACTACTATTACTACTACTATTATTATTATTACTACTACTACTACGTGGTTAATCTTTGGTGAGATTCACAGCCTTTGGGGCTAGTTGGTAGCTCAACAGCTCGAGTCCTAACGAAGGATCTAGGAACTGTTA